AAAAAGATTAATCCTAAAAGAAGAATTAATAATGTAATATAGATTCTACAGTCGAACTTCCATTTCTTATTGAGACATGAGAAAGCCTTTACGGAGTATCATAAGATCTCTTGAATTAGTTGTCCTATTGGCAGAGTAGAAATGAAAAGGAAAAGTTAGTGGACCATAAAATAAATTTCAATGTTTTTCCTTTGATAAACAATCCCATGTCTAGAGAGAGAGAGGAGGGGGGGGGAATTGCTCATGAATGTGCAGGAAACACAACATTATTACAATAAGTTCCATTGCCCAAAAAAGTTAATATTATGAAACAGAAATTCAAGATACAACTAATTTTAAATGAGCCTAACACGCATCAGTCCTAACATGCAACTAATTTTGTAGTGAATAAAGTGTCAAAGGAAATGTAGGCCTTAGGATTTTTTTTTTTTTTTTTTTTTGGGGGTCTATGCTTAATATATGTTGCAAAACAATTATCACAAAGTTTACATATTAATAATTTTAGTGCACGGTTCTTTATTTTGGAGAAACGCTTGTGTAACTCTGCATGGAAGAAGATAATGTTGACCTCGTAAATGCACCAAAAAACAAAAGAGTCACAGCTGGTGCAACTTCAGAAATTGCTTCCACAAACATGAATACAAATTTACATCATTGGAGTGCAGTCCGAATCTGAAGAAGAGCATGAACGGTTCTCCGTTGCCAAAAGTGATGAGAAGAGTTAATTCTACTCTGTTTCTGAAGAATCGGATAGATCAGCAGAATCCCATGACTCTGCTTCTGAAGAATCGGATGGATCAACAGAGTCCCAATTATTTTCAAGAACGACCCTTAGAACCTATTATTTTCAAGAATGACCCTAAGACCCTCATTTCCTACATCCATCTGTTCTTGTTGAATTTGCTTTACGGAAGTCACAGCAGACTCACGGCACCATTTGAGCTCTATCATTTCGAGGGTTGAACATTCCCCTAAACAAGAAGGGACCTCTTCCAGCTTCCAACAGCTTTGCACAACTAACTTCTCAAGACGGGAAAAACTATCAGAAGTGGCGGTCCAACTTCGAAGGTCCAATTCTGACAATTCCAAGAATCGGAGGTTAAGGAACTCCCCTGCTTTCATTTCCCATTTTTCCCCATCAAAGGCATTATAGCGTAATTTAAGCACTTCAAGACTCGGCAGCTGTCCGATTGTTGAAATTTCACTCCACAGCATATCAGTATGTGAGAGAGTCAACTTTTTCAAATAAGGTGGGAATTTAATTTCCAACGGAGCAAGACTTATCACTTTAAGTGACTCTAGTCGACTCAAACCATCCAGCACGAGAATCCAATTTCTGGAAGAACTATAATCCTTTAATGGCGCACATTTTAGCCTGCGGATGCTTGGTAACTTTATCAATATCGTCTGCAAGCTTTGAGAAGAGGAATCAATTGCAAAGCTTAAAGTCTCTAAATGTTTTAAATCCGGGGAGCCCGCAAGATTGTCAGCAGGAAAATGAAAACCACACGGGCCACTTGTAATGTATAGATGCCTCAATGTCTGAATGTTCCAGATAGTAGTCGGCAGCCCAACATTACGACCGGTTGCTGTCACCAAAAAAGTTTCTAATCTTGAGAGGTTAGCTATTTCAGATGGCACGGACCTAATGCTCGAAATCGCCAAGTATCTCAAGTGAACAAGCAATACCACTTCCATCGGAAATTCATAGTTAAAAATAAACCCTCCCAAATCCAACACTCCAAGAAGTTTGAACAACAGAACCCCGGTTGGTAAATAATACACCGCTTTCAACTTAGCAAAGAAGAGCAAAGAACGTAAATTGGGAAAAAATACCTTTGACTTTTTAAGCTTCCTGGGCTCGGTATTGTAAATACGTAGTCGATGAAGGTTATGCGGTCCAGTCAGGGTAATAAGATCAATTTCCCGATGAGAAATCTGTAGAAAACTTTCTTCTTTGGCTTTTTCCACACAAAACTCATGTATCAAATCATGAATTCGGCAAGCTTTGGCACCACCAATAGATCTTTGTCGGATGACCATAACTAAACTTCTTTGGACCAGATCGGTCAAGTACTCATCCACCACATCCTCTAAGCTCTTTCCTTCAGTCTTTTGTAGAAATCCTTCAGAGGTCCAAAGCCAGATCAATGTTCGGACAGGGACGTCTTCATCTTCCGGGAATGCACCGAAGTAAAGAAGGCACGGCTTCAGATGACCAGGCAAATTCCCGTAACTCAACTCCAATGTCCTCTTGCATTGTTCAGTCTCAACAATGGTGCTAGAACTTAGAGTTTCTGCAACTTCTTTCCAGCAATCTTGCTCAGTAGTTGCAAGAATTCCAGCAACAAGGACAATTGTGAGAGGTAGTCCCTTACAGTTTTTTGCAATTTGGAATCCAACTTCATTCAGTGTTGGAGGACAACCTTTTTTGCCAAATAGCTTATTTTGCAACAATGCCCAACTCTCTTTGTCAGTAAGTTGGCGAAGATGGTAAGGTTCGCTAGCATGCTTTAATTGCAATGGCAAACTGTGAATTCTACTAGTCAAGAGAATCCTGCTTCCGTTTGCATCATTTGGAAATGATCTTTCCAACAAATTCCATGCCTCAATGTCCCATAAGTCATCCAAAATTATGAGATACCTATTTCTCAACAAAACCCTCCTTAGCTCTTCAGCCAAATCATCTTCATCTTTGTTAAGATATTTATCAGGACTACTACGATGAATACTGCACAAAATCTGAGATAACAAATTGTGCTTGCTATATGTTTGAGAAACAGTACACCAAGCATGAATATGAAAGTGGGGACAAACTGAAAGATGCATATGGTGGTAAACTGTGTTTGCTAATGTTGTCTTACCAAGTCCAGCCATCCCAACAATTGAAACAATATCCAGCTGCTTTGAACCCTTGGTAAGTCTATTGATGATTGTCTTTACCGCTTCATCAAGGCCCACCGGAGCTTCATTCAGTGCTGGGGTCCTGAGTTTTGATGACGTATGAGGTGAATTGTTGGTTCCTCTCTGAGCGTCAGTGCCATGGCTGAGGCAGTCACAGATTCCAAGGGCCTCAGTCCTCATCAGCTCAATATCTCCAGCAAGTGTATCCAAACATTCAGGTTTATCCCCAGATACAATAGAGTTGATGAGTAACTTTGCCTTATAGGCCACCTCCATACCACGATTCCAAAGAGCTTGGAGTTTTACGTTCTGGTTGCGTTGCCCGACGATATTCTCGAGCAAAGATCTTAAGAATATAAGATCCTCTTGCACTCTGTGGATATGATCCTTTGGGAAATCAATTGAATCAGCTTCAGAATTCGATTGTTCCTGGAGACTTTCTAGGAGGAAATCAAAGCAGCCCAACTCATTGGTCCAAGGAAAGCAGAATGACGGTGGTGGATAAATTTGTGCAAATTCTGCCATAATAAACTTGAGCACTTTGACCAGATGAAAAAGCGCGAGATCTGTTTCCTTGGCCAAACCTTCTATCATTTCAGTTGGTGAAAGGGATAAAATCACAATTCCTGCATCACAGGCCACAAATCCAATAAGATCCTTCATTTGATCGTGTAGCCCGTCGAATTCCTCTTGCTGCTGCCCGAAGAGGTTTCTCAGGAACCTTACTCCCTCGTGGAGTATTAGCATTTGATCCTTCACCAGAACCGAGAAACTGGGAAAATGTTCTAGTAGCTCCATAACATTATACAGGAGACGATCAATAAAGTTGGCCAATAGATGCTTATTCTTCTCCAGCACTGAAGTGTGCGACGATCTTGACAACTTTGAAGCTGTTAGGACATGGATATAAGTTTCTCGCACTTGGGGATGAACGGGATCAATCTCCTTGCGTATCAGTCCAGAAATTTGAGATTCCATTTCATTGCACACTCGTTTACTGTTTCTCTTAAACCAACATATAGAAACCAGGCGTGCAGCTTTGACAGCCACAACTTCAGCGTGGATCAACAGATCGATCAATTGGTTACCCACAACGCCTTGCGCTGTGGCAAAGCAAATGAAACTCTTCAAGAACGATAGCTTCGCTTCAAGGGTCATCATTACAAAACGCAGAGCATTGTCATATGTGTGAATCCGGAGGGTAAGCCAGTCCAGATTCTCTAAAACAGAGTCAATCAAATTTGTAACTAGTCGTGGATCTCCCAGTGAGCAGTGGTGCAACAAACTGATTATGCACGATGGTCGGATTTCTGTCTCAAAAAATAACCTGATATTTTCCTCAAATCTGGTGAGCTTAGTTTTGATGTCACTAAGATTTGATGCACCAGATTGAATATATGCAAGATCAGCAGACTCAGCAGGCAGACCTTGAATCTTCGACAAAATAATACTAAGTCTCAAACTGTCGGACTTAGTATTACCCTTCTCCTCCAGATCATGTTCCCAACACATTTTCTGCTTCCTCCTGCAGTTTGTAACATACAGAACAAAGGGTGTCAATACGCGTACGTTGTCCGTCAGATCATCGAGTTGACCATACCAAGCCCAAGGAGCATCGAACTTGCCCGCGTACTCCAAAAGCTCAAACGTCGTCATAAGCCAGTCCAAATGCTCTAAAACAGAATCAAAGACACTAGTGCGGCTACTACTGGAGGCCATCTTCATTATGGTGTCTTCTTTTTCACTCTGATATCAGATCTCTGTCTAGTGTAGCAAATGATCTTGAATGAACTTAGTTCAAGATCTACTTTTTTGATGCTGTATTTTTACGGGGGCTGCTGCTCGGCGGTGTTAAATATTCCGTCGAGTATATTCTTTAAGGACAAGGGACGATTTTGATCATTATTAACCATATAGACTAAGGGCGGAAGCCCGGTGTCCACGTGGACGTGGTCGTCCTCCGCGTGGCAGCTGGGAATTCGTTTGTTTGGTGTCCTTTTTTTTTCCCGCACTGTTTTCTTCTTTTCTTTCTTTCTTCTTGCTCGGTGGGAGGCTGGCTGAGGTCGTGGGTCACTTCTCTGCCACTTCCTCAGTCTCCTGTGTACCAACTCCACCAAGCCGAAGCTTTTCCTCCTTGTGCGGTCTTCTTTGCAGCTCAAGTTTTACCCTCAAGTTTTACCCTCAACTCAAGTTTCACCTTGTAAGACCCGTCTTTCGTTGGCCCTGTTTGCCTGCATCCGTTAGGTTGGCTCCGTCAGGTGCCTCTCTGCTCGCTGAGCCAGCTCGTCTCTAGCGGCTCCATCTTCCTTCTGTCCTTCTTTTTCTTTCTTCGTCGACCACAGATTCTGTTTTGTTTCGTTCAGCTGCAAAATTTAGCCCCCCGTAAAGGTCGAAAATTTATCTTCCCTGCCCCATATGTTAAAAAATCCCCTTTTTCCCCCCGTCTTGGCTTCTCCTCTTTTTTATTTTTTCCCCGCTCCATCGCTCTGTCCGGCTGCGTCCCCCCAGCCTTTACTGTTCCGCTTTGCCCCCTTACACGCCTTCTCCTTCTGCTGTCTCCCCCTGGCTGCTGACGGATTAGGTTGCTGCAATGATGGCCGATGTAGCTGCTTCTCCTCACCTCTCCCCGCGACTGGTCAATTGTTCTTCCGTTGGTGTTTCCCTACTGCTGCTCCTTCTCCCTGCTTCCCATTTCGCTCCGCCAGGTAACCTCTGCTCCTCTTTTTTCCACCTGCTTTTATCGCCTTCTCCGTTTCCCTTTCCTTTTCTTTTCCCCTCCATGTTTGCTGATTGCACATCCCACCAATTATAGCATCTATTTTGGACGAATCCCTCCCCCCGCTCTTCCCACCCTCGCTTTCTGGTTCTTAATTTTACTGGATCAGTGTGCTTCCGTCTCCCCCCCTGCCCCCAAATTAGCGCTGCCCCCTCCAAATTCTCCCTCAAATTACTGCCTGCGCCTGATCGTCAGCCTTCCGTACGCTGTATTTTCCCCGCTTTACATTGTTGTTGCTGTACAGTCTGCTTAACCCAATCAAGATACCGAATAACAAACCGCCCAATTGCCCTTCCATGAGGCAGATTGTTCTCCCAAAATTTTTTTAAAATACAGCTTTGAAAACTATTTTAAATTATGTATACTTGTATACCGCTGTTTTGCCACTATAGTAGCTGTCTATTATTGCGCTTATTAAAATAAAGTCATGCTTCGAATTTAGGATTAAGGCGTTGGAATTGAGGCCTTTTAGTAGTGGATTTTTAAATTAATGGATCCTTTCACCAGGTTACTATAATTCCCTATTGAATGATGATAGTCTTGTAGAAAATCTAAGAACAAAAAAAACGCTCAATTAATCACCCTATTTGCAGCTCAAAAACTGCATTGAAAGATGGAAGCAAGGAGAGAGCTCTTGTCCAACTTATATATTTTTTTTGTGGCAAAAAATTGGATGTTGTTGTACATGCTTCTGTAATTTTTAATTATTTGGTTGACCAACAATTCATGTTAGTTTTGATATAAAACATGTTCCCAGGAAAACAAATTTTACTTGGGACAACCAGATAATTAGCAATAGCTCTTTTCACTGTTATAAACCAGTAACGAAAAGACATTATGTTGATCTCAGCATTCCTCATTCTAATCGTTTTTTGCCAATTGTTTGGTGTATCATATGTTTGTTTTCTTCCTTTTGGATTACTTTGTTTTTCTTTGGTGGTTTTTCAGGGTTTCAGTTTCGCATCAAAGAAAAAAAAAATTTGACAGTCTTCCTTTTGGTTTCTGCAGGCCCATTTCAACTGCTTCATCTAGCTTGTTCTTCTGCTTACGCCTGCCTGTTGCTCCAGGTAATTTCCTTTCTACTTGGTTTCGCATCACCCTGTTCTGGTTTTTTTATATATTCTTATTCTTGTTGTTATGGCTTGCTTCTCTGTTCGCTCCAACCTCTCCCCCCCTCTATCTCTCTTACTGCTATGCTTGCTCCGTTCCATTACATGCTATGTTTGCTTTCTTTTTACATGCTTAACTTGCAATGTGTCTTCTTTTGCTTCATTGTGTGCAACTTTATATTGCATTTTGTGTCTTTCGATTCAAAGAAATACATTGGCCGTTATGTATTTGTATACTTTTCAAGCTCGTATTCTCCCTAATTTTTTTCCCTCATGTGTTGGAAGGTGAGAATCATGTACTCACGAGGTTTGTTTTCCCCATCGGTTTTATTATCCTTTTTTTCCCTTGTCCATATTTCTTCCTTATTTTAACCCTTCTTGTCATAACCGTTTTGTTCCTTTTTTTTCCCAGGAAATCTTTGTCGCCCTTTAAGGAGAGGAATGGGTTTTATTTTTTCTCTCAGTTTTAGTTCCTCTTTTTTTCCTCTTATGCATAATTTTTTCCTTACTTTCTTGCCATAACTGTTCTGGTTTTTTCTTTTTTCCACAATAAAACTTCGTTGCACTTTAAGAAGGGAAATAAAAAATTTATTAATGTTTTGTCTCCTTGTCTTATTGCCTAGCTTGATCTGATTCATGCATCTTGAAGAGCAATCGTCCAGGAGGAGAAAAGGAAATAATAGTTTGATGTTGTTGGCTTCAGGTTTTTCTTCATTTTTTTCTGGTATTTTTGGTATTTTTCTTCGGCCGAGATTGCTACAAGAAGGATAAGAAGTGTTGCTTGAGTGCTCAAAATAAATACATACTATAAGGAAAGCAAGAGAGGCAGAAAGAGGAGAGAAAATAGAACACCCGAGCACGAGCGAAAATGAAAGCGAAGTAATTATTGAAATCAGGAAACTGAGAATAGTGCTGGAGTTGCAGCCAAATCTTAGACTTATCGGAAGTCAGAGAAATTTGCTGCTCCAGCCCAACTGATTTGTCCAATTAGAAATGCCTCAAATTTCTTACTCAGAGCCCAAGCTTTAAATCTTGAATTTTTCTTGTACCTTCGATTTAAATAGCCTCAGTCCCAAAAAAAATTGGGGCCTTTAGTCTAAATTACCTGTAAATTTGCTATCTTAGGCATTTATGACTCATCTAATGTCACCTCAGCTTAATACCATCTATCTTTGCTAATTGGTATCCTCTCTTTTGCTATCATAAACTTCCCAGCGAGCCCTGCAATGGAGTAAAAATTGTAGCATTCCAGCTAAGCATTTTCTTCTGGGGGATAGATCTTGAAGATTAGCTTCAAGATATAAAGATGGGTTATTTAGTTGTGTACTACGTGGGATTGTGGATATGGTTGTCTTTGTTTAGTTATAGCTCCATTTTCGTGTACTCTGAGATTGTAAAAGACACTGGAACATCCCAAGGCTTTGTATTTGTAGATGGGATTAGTGCCATTGGAGAAATAGATGACGATTTCATTTGTGCCACCTTGGATTGGTAGCCACCAGAGAAATGTGACTATGGAACCTGTAGCTGGGACCATGCTTCCCTTCTCATTCTGGTACTTTCCATTTTCCTGCATTTGCAGCTATTTTGTGTCTCATGTTTATGTCAATGCGTGTGTGTGTGCGCCTTTTTTAATGTTACCTGCAAGCTTACTACGTTGGTATGCTGAAGTTGTTGATGGATTTATCCACCTGAACCAATGCCGTCTTTTATAACAAGGGGATGATGGCTTGTTTGAGCTGTATATTTTAGCTTCAAATTCATTTCCGGTTAAAAAGATGTGATTTTTATGCTTTAGATGGTGTGTCAGAAAAGTTTTTTGATGGCTGCGAATTCCACTCTGATGCTTTCAGCAATGAAGTTGTAAAAGGGGAAGAAGACAATACTTGTCGCTTATCATTTATGCTCTGTTTTGTTTGCCTTTTGATTAAAGTCCAAAAGATCTTGATTGTGTTCTGAGAGAGATGTTATCGAATTTCAAATTGTCCAAAATGATTCTGGGCTATTATATGCGTGACCAATTTGAATTAAAAGATTAGTGTTTAATGGACTGGTTTGATCTGTTTCTTGTTTTATTTGCAGGATCTTAACAACATAATTTTATTAAATGCAGTAAAAGGTATTAACTTTTTCTAGCTTTCTTGATTACTAAAAATGGCATTCTAACGTTATAGTCCCGTTATGGGAGCTCAAGTTGCTATCTTCCCCTAATTTTGCAGCTTTTTCGCCATTAAAGATTAGACTTGGGGGCACCCTGCAAGATAATGTCATATATCAAATTCAGAGTAATCAATGCTGCCATTCATTTGTTAAGAATTCCCCAGAGTTGTTTGGCTTCACTCAAGGGTGCCTTCCTTCGTCTTGATGGGATGAATTAAACTCCTTTTTCAAGAAATCTGGGTACATAAGAAGCACCGCCTTGGTTAGTTAGACTGGTAATTATTTATCCTTATTCTCATCGATCTGAAATTAATGAATCATTGTCTTCATTCCTGGGCTGAAATTATATTTGGTTTGAATGCTCTGAATGGGAAGAGAATAAGGTCCGATGGTTCAATAGTTGGAGCTTGGGATTCCTCAAATGGTGAAGCTTTTATTCATTACATTGTTGAAAAGGGCTACAACATATATGGCTGGGAACTTGGTAATATCATTTACCTTTCTATGGTTAGCCTGCTGCAGAAATGCTTCTTCTCTATTTTTATATAGTTTTTTCAAATGATTTAGATAGCTTGAGATTAGTTTCGGATGGTAATTTTTCATCATCAATTTTGGCCAGGGAATGAACTTTCCGGCGGTAAAGTTGGGACAAGAGTTGCACCTGATCAGTATGCTTCTAATACAATCGTACTACACAACAAAGTACTAGAAATCTACAAGGATGTAGCAAACAAGCCAATTGTTTTAGCGCCAGGAAGAATCTTTGATGTCAACTGGTTTACAGATTTTTTGCACAGGACCAACAACGCTGTAGATTTGTATTGGAACAGATTGCCTTTCTTTTTTTATTTAAATCAGATGGTGAAAATGATTTGCCTCACCTACTTATGTGCCTATAATTTGCTGAAGAAAATGACCTTTTGTTTATTCAGCTTAACCTAAGCTTTCACCTTTCTTGGATTTCTTCTGGAGCTGGAAGCAAAAATGGCCACCCGTGAAAAACAACTGGTGAGGGAAAACGTAAGTTTTGTTATATCATTCTGATTTAATTTTTTCCTTTAAATTGCTCTCTTCAGACCTGGTATGCTTTCTCTTTGGTTATTTTCTTTGGCCTTTGCTCTTTTCAAACTCATTCAAATTTTCTTTTTAATCATTTTTTGGCGTCTTTCACGCAGGTATTTTGTTGATCTTCTCAAAAAAAGCAATGTATATGGTAACTAAAAAGATTTACTTGTTTAAAATATATTTCTTCATCTTCAAAATGTCTTTCTTTTTGCTTCAGTTCTTCCGTTTCTTTTTCCTTCATTGGGTTTCCAACACTTGAAGAACTAATGAATTTCTTCTCTAGGAATTCTGTGCCAAGTTGGTCATTGGCCAAAATTTTACGTTACAAAAGATCTTGGGATGCTACTCTTTTGAATGCTTTGTGTTGAATTTTATGTCTTTTAGCACAGAAAATTGTCTCTTGTTGAAACCTTTTGAATATTTGTTTTACGAGCCTTAAGTGGATATTAAATCAAGTATTTTCAGCAATCTTTTATTGATTAATTGTTTCTGATTCACTAGATCTTATAAATGGTTTTCCTGTTTATAGGTGATTAAATGTTTGCCCAAGATAAGGATTCTCAAATATTAGATTCTAAGCACCTGCTTGAAATAGTTAGTAAGTTATTGTTTTAATTAAACACCTTAAATGTTCTATTCATTCACCGGAAAAAGAATTTTTTACATTTTTACAACGCCTGTATAATTACGACTTCTTTCCAGTGCAACTGCTTTTTCACTTTTATTCCTGTATAATATAGCTCCGTTTTTTACCCCTATTCTTCAGTCTCACAAATATTACTAGCTAACATTAACTGGGCATGTATACCACCGCGCAACGCGCGGTGTTACCACCTAGTTTTTAACTGCGTTGGCAAAGGTAACAACGGTAGTCAACACCACATTCGTCTCATTGGCAAATTCTTGGATGATCCCGGTCCATGGCCCCACCCATGGACCGTGTAGTTCTTGAAAAGGCACGTCATTTTTTGCCGTGTTAAATAGGCACAGATGCTTTTAGTTACTGTACTGCAGTCAGTTAACTAACCATGGTTTGAATTGCATTTTCTTGCTATTCTCTCAAACCAAAAGGCAGGCGAGGGCGGAAGTTTTCGTGGTTTGACTTCCACAATTTACGAAAGAGGCAAGCATTTTCATAAAATGCCCTTGTAAAGTTTAGTTTATTCTTCTAAATAATTGCAAAGTAATTTGACACAATTATAAAAAAAAAAATGAGTGTTCAATATTTATTATTTAATAATCAATGATGATAATAAATCTTTTTTTAATAGGCTATTTTTTCATAGTACTTTATTAGAGATATAGATTCTTTTTAAAATATAAAAGAAAGTGTTTTCTTTTTTTAAAAAAAAATTATGGACTATTTCTTTTATTTTTGAAGAAAAGTTTATGGACTAGTTCAGTGACGGAACTACCATAATTTGGTAGTAATTTTGAGCAATTTATTTTTAATTATTCTTGATTTTGATATAAAAAAAAGAGCTAAAAAAATTGGATAATATCAAAAGTCATCAAAAAATATTACTAGTTTAAAATTTGATCTTGAGAGAAGTTAAGGATAACATTAATAGTCCTTCTATATGTTTAATGAGATATAAGAAAAATGAATAAAAAGAAAAAAGAAAAAAATTATAAAATTCATCCTTTGTATGAATATGACAATAAAGGACTTTTATTAAAATATTAAGGTTAGTATTTTCATTTTAAATAGGGAAAGGAGGTTGATGTAATTTTTAAGACCTTAAAAGAGTTAAGTAAAATTGTCAAAAACCTCAGGAGAGATTTCTTAATTTAATTAAGGGCTGCAATTTCTTTTTTTTTTTTTTATCCAAAAGCAAAAGCACATGTAAAAAAAAAAAGGATAAAGCAAACATCAGATTTGGGTACCATTGCATCCGTTTTAGGGGATCTAGGAAGACTTTGTAAATGTCCGCATTAGATCGGAGTCTGGGATATGAAGATACAGCTTCCTTGAGAATTCTGGGATTTTTTTGTAGCTTTTTTTGTTTTTGAAAAAATTTTTGTAGCTTTCAATTTTTTCCTCTCATTCTTGTTCGTAATCTAAAATTACAAGAAGAGGAAACCCATTGACACCAGTTGGTAGAAGTTAGTAGGAGTGACATGGCTACTTAAAAACACAAGGTCCATTGGTGGAGATAAATCGGTTTCATCCAAGTTTTTGCCGACCTTAATTATTGAGCTTGAGGAATACATCCTCGGTATCTGAGTACAGGTTTGTGTTTGTATAGCTCAATATGTGCTTTGCTCAAGGTTGTGTGACTTGTTTTAATATCAATAATATTTCTTACATTTCTATAAAAAAAAATTATTGAACTTCGCCTAACACGTTTTTTCATTATTTGTTTGATTTCACCTACAAAAAATAATGACTCTAAATCACTATATTCTTAAGCAATAAATACAAACATGACTGTAAATCAAGGAGGTGAACATGGAATCTCTAAAATCAGGGGTGGATTATCCTTTAATTTGTTTCTCGATTAGGGTCCGTTTGGAGTTTCTATACCATATTAAAAAGTAGGGTAAAAAAACAAAACAACCCCCTGTGGTAAATCTAATACACAGAAAAACCCCTCATAATTTCAAAATATACAACACGACCTCTCATGCTTTGAACTAAATTGTAAAGGTGACAGAATCCGTTAAATTTAACGGAAATGAACGAAATGACCAAAATGCCCTGATATAATTAAGCAAAAGACAGCTCAAAAAAATCATTTGTTTTATTTTCTAAATAGAGATAATTGAGGGTTAAAGGGTAGAATAGGTATATTTGATAAAAATTAGGTATAAAAAATTTTTTTTTAGGTTCTAATAAGTCATTTCCGTTAAGTTTCTAATAAGTCATTTCCGTTAAGTTTGACGGATTTCGTCACCTTTACAATTTAGTTCAAAACATGAGTTGTCGTATTGTATATTTTTAAATCATAGGGGGTTTTTCTATGTATTAGACTTATCACAGAGGGCATTTTTGTTTTTTATCCTAAAAAGTAATTTCTCAATAGAACTTTTAATAAAACTACTTATTAAATGTTTAAGTGCTTTTAAATATATTATTTGGAGATATAGTTCAATAAGTACTTATTAGATTGGATGATGTATAGTTTGAAATTTTTTAAATGGATTTATCTCTTTATTTAGTTCATGATATAGGATAAAATGATTAAATTTAATGTTTTGTTTTGCTTTTTAAATTATAAAAACTACTCCAAAAACACCAAATTTGAGCTTTTGCTAAAGTATTTTTAATATCAAAATCTTCACCCCTAATTTTATGATATGATATTAACCAAATGCCTTAATATACTTGTTTTTATTAAAAGCACAACAACTCTAAACGGGCCTTAATCGTATGTTGTTTAGTATAGAATTTTCTTCCGTGTTTTGGCAAAGCAACTGTAAATTCCAAATATATTATATTGATATAGAGTTCTTGCTCCAACCCTCCTATGAATTTTTCTTTTATGTTCTTCTATGTTTCTCGTAATTAGAACGTTGGAACGTGCATTAATTGCACGTTGGTGGGCGTGTTTGGGAGGAAGTTTGTGAAAATAGTGAATCTAAAAGTGAGAAGCGGTGAACCTGGCATTGTAATGGTATAAATGTAATACAGCAATGGTTAATCACAACAAGTGACCCTAAAGATTTAAAAAGAGAAAAAAAAAAAAAAAAGACAAGATAAGCATATATTTTCGAGACTCACTAAACATCTAAAAGGGGGGTAGAGGGGCAAAATTTTCGTGTCTCTTTACTACAAAATCTTTGCTTTTAATATCCTCGTTGTTCCAACCAATCTCTTGAAGTTTTTGGCTTTTTATAATGTTGAAGTAGTTTTAGAAGTTACCCTAGCATACAACGGAATTCTCTAGTTATGAATCGAATAAATTTATTACTTATCGCATTTACACCTTCTCATATTCTAAATTTAATATTCCACATTATTTATCTTTGTTTCATATTTCAAAATTCATAAATCAAATTGTACAAGGGTAAAAGTGAAAAGATAATATAATCTCTCTCCTCTGATATATTTTTTAAATATTATTTTTCCATATAAGGGATGACAATTTTATATAAATTGTCATTCAAGGGGAGCTATGTGAGATTTTTGAAGCTTCAGGAGTGCTAGATGATATTAGAAAAAAAATCTCAGGGGAGGTTTCTGAAATTAACCCTTAAAAGTATTTCATTTCATTTCATAAAAATATGACCGTCCATTTCAGCAGTTTTCCCATGGTAATCTCGTGATGCATAGAATGAAACTGGCGATCTCTGGAATCCATCACCTGAACATGATAATTCTACTAATCATTTAGTGAGAGTTAACGTTAGTAATACAAGAAATTGATTTCCTAAGTATGAATCGGCTGGTTTACTACACATTAGATTTTTTTTTTGAGTGATAGATGGAAATAGGAATCAAATGTTGTTTAAGCATCTTGGGTTTGGTGGGTCGGTACTAAACTTAAAAACCGCCCAAAAATTATTTAGATTTCTTTCACCCAACTCGAAAGTCGAAACTAACGCAATGCCCAATTCGTCCAACTGATCTCTTAAATTAGGGAGCGGGTTAAGTGGGTTGTTGGGTTCTGGACATTTTGCCGGCCACAATTACCCGTTGGAAGTTTTGTGAGGCATGTCCGGGAGGAAGTTTTGTGAAAATAGTGAACCTAAAGTTGAGAAGCAATGAACACAGAAAGACAAAGATAAGCAGACTTTCGACTTTCGAGACTCACTAAAAATCTAAAAAGGGGGGATAGGGCCAAGTGCGGTTTGGATCTATTATGGTTCGATCCGA